CTTGTTATTAAATTGCTCTCTTGGTTGTGAAAACTGGGTTTCCACAGAAAACTTTATTTCCTGGAAAACTACATTTCATGACTTTTCCAGGATTTTTTTAGGAATAAGAAGTTTAAAAAATGCATGACCAAGATGTATGTAGGAAACCCTAAAACATTTATTTGAGTAATCTGTACCTGGAAATGAAATGTTTTCAAGGTTTACTGCAGTTCCATCTTGCAGGACAAAGATCCTTCGAAGGGATCTACTGTTAGAATAGTGCCTTTGTGTCCATCACTTGTTTCAACCTGATCGCCTTGCTGACACTCTCTCCAAACTGTACTGCTTCCTTTAACACTTTTTGACAGTGAATTTTTTGTGGCTTGCCTGCAGTTTTCTGTTACAAAGATATACGATATTTGTTGGCTGTAATGCTCACCCGTGTTAAACTGTACAATATTCAAAGGTAGAAATCTGTGATTTGTGAAAAAAGGATGACTTTTCAAATATCTTTCTAGGGTTTTATGGCATTTCATTACATCAACAATCAGGTAACAATTTTTTACATGTACCACAGACAACTTGCCTGCCGCAAATATTCCGATTTACTAATCCTTCCTAATTGGGTTTTTCTTTCGGAAACATGTAGAGTGCATTTACAAGGAAATAACTAATTTGTTATTTATTTATTAATTCTTTGTACAAGTACCGGTATCTTTTGAAAATACATATTAATTTTTAAATCATATTTCTTTCGGATATACCGGTAGACAAACAATTGAATGTTAAAATGGAACATGAGCATGTTACTTACGTCTTTGATGATACTCTTCATAGGGAGGTACTGGATGTCTTACGGAACGTTCATCCACCCAGATATCACGCCCAGTATATCCAATAAAACTCACTAGGTATGACCATTCTTCATCTTTGACTACTTTAGCTGCACACCATCTTCCCAATTCATCGAATGCCTGGACGCAACTTCCAACTGAGAATTTTCCTGTCATTTTGACTTCTTTAGAAAATGAGCATTTTGAGAACTGCACCAAGACTGTAAATTGATGGATGATGAACATTGGGAAATCACCTTAACCTATGGCAGCCAATTTACTTGGCAGACTCCATCATGAAAGGAAAAAAAAAGGCCCCAGAATATTTCATTTTAGATGATCACATAAATATCTCATTGATATTCTGTTTGCAAATGTTTGTTACTTTGTTACAAATTGCTTTTTTATACGTGCACCAAACATTTCATATAGATTATAATTGTACGTGACAATGAACTCTAAATCCTTATTTTTTGATTTTCATATCACTACGCAGCATCAAGCCAGTGATCAATCCAGCAATGAATGACCACAACCAGCGAAGGATGACACACATATCTGTCATTCCCTTTGTACCAAGGACTGGTACCTTTAGCAGAGGTCAAAAGCATAGGACTACTGGTTTATCACCACAAGGGGGCAATAAAAATTGTCCACTGGGGAAAGCTGTCATCTCAGAATGGATGTTTTCTTTCCGAGTCGGAAAGGTCTAACTCGGATTCGTTTAAATGGGAGAAATTCGTAATGTTTCGGGCCCAACAGACCCCGACGAGAGACGCTCTTGCGAGCTAGGGTGCCTCACCGACGCGTTCACGGGTGGGGCCGAGGAGGTTTTTGCGACCGAGTCCAAGCGTAACTGGAGATGCGACGAAGTGCGAGGAAGAAATCTTCAGCGGGCGCCCACGTAACGCTACCCGTCCGGCACCCACGGCGGGACCGACGCCGCCCGCTGCGAGATGCCGCCCTCGGGCTGGAAGCCATGGTTCATCCGGTTCATCCGTGCCGAACAATTGCATTGGGACCGACTTGGCAACTCCCCCGAGAGCCTTCCTGCTGGGTATACTATTAACCGTGGATTTCAAATCAGTTTGGGGCGGCCGCGTCAGACATGCAGCCCAGCAGCCAATCTTCGGGCACCGGGGAAGCGCTCGTTCACTCCCCGGTCCTCCCCGGTCTCCTCCTCCAAGTGCGGTCCGCCCGAGGGCCACCAGGCGGCGCCGGCCGGCCCTCCTGATTTCTTGCAGCTGGAGCTGAGCTTGAGACCACCTTCCCACTCCAGGGAGTGGGGGTTAAGGTCCAAAATGCTCCCATTGAAATACGCACGTTTTGGGCCCAACAGACCCCGACGAGAGACGCTTTCGCGAGCCGGGGTGCCTCGCCGACGCGTTTGCAGGTGGGGACGAGGCGGTTTTCTCGCCCGAGTCGGGTCGAAACCGGAGATCCGACCTTTCGTGGACCACGAAGTCCGAGGAAGAAATCTTCAGCGGGCGCCCACGCAACGCCGCCCGTCTGGCACCCACGGCGGGACCGGCACCGCCCGCTGCGAGACTCTGTCCGCGGGCTGGAGGCCCAGGTCCCTCCCCTCCCGACGGCACGTCCCACGACGGCATTGGGACTGACTTGGCAACTCGCCACCCCGGCGCTACTCCCCGAAAGCCCTCCTGCGGGGTAATCTGCCAACCCTGGATTTGAAGTCAGTTTGAGGCAGCCCCCTCAGACTCGCAGCCCAGCAGCTCATCCCGGGCCGCCAGGCGAGCGCCGGTTCACTCCGCCGTCAGCCCCGGTGGGCCCTCCTCTGGCTGCGCCCGCTCCTCCTCTGCCGCAGGTCCGGCACCACCTCCGGCCCTCCGTGCGACGGGGCCCTTCCGTCGCCGGTCCTGATGGTCTGCTCCTCCCGAGGGCCGCCGGGCGAGCGGCAGTTCACTCCGCCGTAAGTCCTGGCGGGCCCTCCTCCGGCTGCACCCGCTCCTCCTCCGCCGCCGGTCCTCCCCGGTCTCCCCCTCCTCTGGGTCCGGCCCTCCCGAAGGCCGCCTGCCGGCCCTTTGGCTCTGTACGAGGTTTCCGTCCTCGCTGAGTTCGCCTTAGGACACGTCAGCGGGCTCACTTGCTTCGCAGCTTGGACCGCTTAGAAGGACGGAGGGCTCCGCCTGCGGGTTCGGGAATATTGATTCCCTTTCGCCCAGGGGCGAGTCCTTGGCCCCGCGAGGAGGGGGGTGCCCGCCTTCGCTCAGAGCGGAACTTCCCTGGGGCTTAGGATCGACTGACCCACGTACTGCTGTTCACATGGAGGCCTTCTCCGCCACTCGGCCCTCGAGGATCTCACTCGAATATTTGCTACCACCACCAAGATCTGCACCCGCAGCGGCTCCACGCGGCCTAGCGGCCGAGGCTTCGACGCGCACCGCGGCAGCCCTCCTACTCGTTGGGGCGTACCACCCCGGCGGCGGTCCCACTCGCTCTCTGTCCCGACGGCTGGGTGTGGGCAGCACGCTCAGCGCCGTCCATATTCAGGGCTAGTTGATTCGGCAGGTGAGTTGTTACACACTCCGACTTCCATGGCCACCGTCCTGCTGCCCGTATCAACCAACGCCTTTTCTGGGCTCTGATGAGCGTCGGCCGCAATGCGGCGCCCTAACCCGGCGTTCGGTTCATCCCGCAGCGCCAGTCCTGCTTACCAAGAATGGCCCACTGGGCGCCCGTGCATTGAGAGCCCGGCCCCGATCCGGCGGGTAGGGCCCCGCACCAATTTAAAGCTTGAGAATAGGTTGAGGTCGTTTCGGCCCCAAGTCCTCTAATCATTCGCTTCCCCGGTTGCAACTGCTCTCTCTCTCTTTTCCCTGGCACCAGCTATCCTGAGGGAAACTTCGGAGGGATCCAGCTACTAGACGGCTCGATTAGTCTTTTGCCCCTATACCCAAGTCGGACGATCGATTTGCAGGTCAGAATCGCTGCGGACCTCCACCAGCTTTTCCTCTGGCTTGGTCCTGCTCGGGCATAGTTCACCATCTTTCGGGTCCTAGCGTGCCCGGTCTTCCTCCGCCACAGCCGCGGGGAGCTTGCGTCTGGCGGCGCTACAAAACAACCCGATTCCCAGAAGCCCTGGCCGCCGGCCGGCTGGCCGGCGCTCGCAGGTGCTTTACACCCGCCACAGGACGGAGGGGGCCTCGATGAGAGGGACCTCGGCACCGCCGCGACAGCCGGACCGGACTTCCCTACGCCACAATTTCCGTAGGCCCGCTAGGGGCCCGGGTATTCGTCGCTGGGCTCTTCCCGCTTCGCTAGCCGCTACTGGGGGAATCCTGGTTAGTTTCTTTTCCTCCGCTTAGTGATATGCTTAAATCGAGCGGGTCGTCTCGTCCGACCTGAGGTCGATGGGTTCGCAATAGGCCTCGTCTTTATCTCTCTCTCTCGCCTCTCGGGGCCCACCCGGCGCCTCGGCGACTACCAGGAAGGGGGGCCCCCCTCCGCGGCCTGTCCGCGCGGGCTCTCTTCTCTCTCTCGGCGCTGGGCGCCTGCTCCCTCTCTGGTGGTCCACTCGGAGATTGGCAACGGGGCCGGCGGCACTTGGTCCCCGCAGGCGGGGCCTGGCCTCCCCTTTTTCTCTCTTTGCCTGCCATGCCGGCCTGCCTGGCTTCCTTCCGGCGCGCTCCCTCGAGGCCGCCCGTGTCTTTCTTGTTCTGCTCGGGGGGGACGACAGGCGCTCGTGGGTGGGGCGGATACTCAGTGCCGACCTGCCACGCCACGGTGGACTCCCCCGAGGTTCGACTCGGCCCTCCGCGCGGAGAACACGCCCGGCCGATGCCCCCGGCCGATGATCACTGCGTTCTGCAATTCACACTGACTCTCGCAGCTGGCTGCGTTCTTCATCGGCGCACGAGCCGAGTGATCCACCGCTGAGAATTTTCCCTCGTTTTGGTGCTAGTTGGCTCTGTGCATCACCTCTTGATAACCGCGCCAGTGGCCCGGAAGCGGAGCATCCAGCTCTTTTCGGAAATCCGAAAAAAAAAAAACCACCGGTGGGAGCCAGGCTGAGCAGGGACCGGTCGCCTCTCGCTCGGCGGCCCCCTTCCCCAAGGGGGGCCTCTCCGACCGCGTCTCACCGATCCCCCGGTCCATACGAGGCCGAGTCCCGGCGTCCCGGGGCCTGCGGCGAGCGCCGGGAGTTATTCATGTAGGGGGATGCGCTCTAAGGAACCATAACTGATTTAGTGAGCCATCCGCTGTTTCGCTTAGTAAAGCTTTTACTTAGACATGCATGGCTTAATCTTTGAGGCAATCTTTGACTACTGGCTGGATCAGTAATGGCTCAACAAGGTACCACTTGGGGCCGGGGCCCGCCACCTCGGTCCCTCCGGAGTGCTCGGCCGCGCCGCGGCTGCCGGACCGCGGCGCCAGAGTCCTGCGCCTCTCTGCTCTCGCTCTCAACCCGACCTCCGCTGGAATGCCGCACACCCCCGATCCCTCGCCCTCTCCGGCCGGGGCGACACTTCTTTTCCTTCCCCGGGTGCGCGGGCGGCCACTGTAATGCCATCCATTGGCCAGGTGCGCCGGCCTCCACTTGCCTCGATTCCGGAGGGGGCGTCCGGACCAGCCGGGAGGCTGGCCGGGCGGAGCTCCCTCCGTGGTCCCCGGTCGGGGCACAGCCCGCCGCCTGCTCGGCGGGCGTGCCGCGGGGTCGCACGAGGCTCCGGCCGGGGGGGGGGCCGCTGCCGGCTCTCTGGGCCTGGGCCGCCGCCGTGCAACGTCAGTGCGCCTTGGGCTGCCGGGACCCGGCGGAGGTTGGGTGCGGCCCGCCCAAGGGCGGGGCGGTCCCTCCGCTCCGCGGAAGCTGCCGGGCCGATCCGGACGTCGCAGATATTGCTGATCAGGGGCCCTGGCTCCCCTTTCCCTCGCTCTCTCCCATCCGCTCTTCTGCAGCGGGCTTGGCTGCCGCTCCAGCCCCTACTGAAGGCTGGCGGCGACGCACCACCGCACCTCCCGTCCCGGGGTCCGGCCGAACTGCGCCTCCGGGAACGGCCTTTCCTACACCTCTAGGCAAGGCCAGGCAGGCCAGCCGACGCATTTCTGGGCATGAAAAGTTGGCCGCCCGCGCCGAAAACGCCATTGACGGAGCGCTCGGAGGGCCTCCCGGCGGGGCGGCGAGCCGCCACTTTTGTCCAGCCGCTCCGGAGCGGGGCTTGTTCAGACCCCAGGGGGAATCGCTCCATAGGCTTGGGCTCGACCGGGTAGGAATAGCCGGATTGTATGGACAATATAT